GTAGCCCAGGCTGGTCTAAAACTCCTGTGTGACTACAGATTACCTTGAGATTCTGATTCTCTTACCTGTACCTTGCAAGTGCAGGAATTACAGATGTGTGCCACTATGCCTAGCTCTCATTTGCCCCTTTCTCGTCTCTCTTTCTACAAGGCCCCGTTGTGTGCTAAGTATGTGCTCTATCACTGAGCTATACTCCTAGGCTCCTGTTTGTTGTTATGGTTTTGTTTTTGTTTTCTCTCATGTGTCTTGGAACACGTGTCCCGCTCCATGTCCAACTTCAGCTTTTTCTTCTCTGCAAAACAGAATGTTGGAGCTTGTGGCCCAGAAGCAACGGGAACGTGAGGAAAGGGAGGAACGAGAAGCTTTGGAACGAGAAAAGCAGCGGAGGAGACAAGGGCAGGAGCTGTCAGCTGCACGACAGAAACTGCAGGAAGATGAGATGCGCCGTGCTGCCGAGGAGCGCAGGAGAGAAAAGGCTGAGGAATTAGCCGCCAGGTCTGGACGCTCGTCGTGTTGGGTGATAGTTGAGAAGGAAATCAAGATTTTCCCTGTCTGTCTCTGATTTCTTTTCTTCCTGTCTACATTCCAGACAAAGGGTCCGAGAAAAAATTGAAAGGGACAAAGCAGAGAGAGCCAAGAAGGTGGGTGACTAGAAATCTGTGGGTATAATGGAGGAGGTGGGTTAATTTCCTTTTTCATTAAGAGAAAGCCTGTGCATACATGATTGTTTGTTTGAGACATATTTTACTCGGTAAATATGCCCAGATATTTGCCCAGACTGATCTCAGACTTCTTGTTCTCCGCCTTAGCCTTCCAAGTGCTAGAACTTAAAATTGTGAGCCAAACCTGGATGGGTTGTTTTGTTGTGTTGTTGTTTTGTTTGTTTGTTTGTTTGATTTCAGGGTGATCTGTAGTCACACGGGAGTTGCAGGTTGAATCTCTATGCATGCTAGACTGGTGTGCTAGCACTGAGCTAGTGTTCCTATTTTGTCTTCCAGTATGGTAGTGTGGGTTCTCAGTCATCACCACCAGCAACAGAACCAGGTCCTGTTCCTTCTTCTCCCAGCCAGGAGCCCCCTACCAAGCGGGAGTATGACCAGTGTCGCATACAGGTATGTGTTCAGTGGCTGTCTTGCTCCTGGAACCCTGTGTTGGCCTATAAGGTGCCCAGCACAGAGCTATTTGCATTTAAGTCCCATTTGCCAAATCACTCCCTTCTTTGTACATGACTTTTGAAATCCTACCTCCTCTACTCTTGGGAGTGATCGAATTTCACCTGCCTGTCTTATTTAAATCCATACTTCATTCTTACTCAGCAGTTACCCTTTAATTATAATGTTTTCATTAGACTTATTACATAGCTGTTTTCATAATATGGCACTTCCTAGATTTTGTTTGTTTTGTTTTTTTGAGACAGGGTTTCTCTGTGTAGTTTTTTGTTGTTGTTGTTGGTGGTGGTGTTTTTTTTTCGAGACAGTGTTTCTCTGTAGCTTTGGAGCCTGTCCTGGCACTAGCTCCTGTACACCAGGCTGGCCTAGAACTCACAGAGATCGCCTGCCTCTGCCTCCCAAGTGCTGGGATTAAAGGTGTGAGCCACCACCACCCGGCAACTATGGTTTTTAAAAATAATTCCAGCTTGTCTTTTCTTGATTGTGAGGTAGCTGGAGTCCTTTTTCATCACCTGTTGAAGCAGAGCATAAGTGGTTGTTCTTCAGGACCTTTAAGTAGTGTTTGTACTGGTGCAGTCTCTCCAGGAGAGCAGACCAGCTTTAGTCCTCCTTTCCTTTTCTTGGTTACTTCAGTTTGTGTGTGTGTGGTTTTATTTATTTATTTGTTTATTTATTTTGACACTGGGTTCCTCTGTGTAACAGCCTTGGCTATAGACCAGGCTGGCCTCAAACTCCCAGATATCCACCTGCCTTTGCCCTCTCTCCCCTCCCCAGTGCTGGGATTAAAGGTGTGAGCTACCATTATCCAGCCAGTTTGTTATGAGACAGGGTCTTGATGTGTAGACTAGGCTGGTCTTGAATTTTGAGATAACCCCTGCCTCTGCCTGAGTGCTGGGATTACAGGCATATGCCACTATTCCAGACTTTGTTTTATTTTCGGAACTGGGTCTTGCTGTACAGCCCTACAGACCTCCTGGAGTTCACTGTGAAGATCAAGCTGACCTCAGACTTCGGGTGGTCCTCCTTCCTATTTCTTCTCTGTGCTATGATTATAGGTATTGTCATTACCTGGCCTCACCTATTTATTTATTCATTGTTTTATTTATTTATTTATTTTTGGTTTTTCGAGACAGGGTTTCTCTGTGGCTTTGGAGCCTGTCCTGGAACTAGCTCTGTAGACCAGGCTGGTCTCGAACTCACAGAGATCCGCTTGCCTCTGCCTCCCGAGTGCTGGGATTAAAGGCGTGAGCCACCAACGCCCGGCTATCATTGTTTTATTTTTTGAGACAGGGTCTCCTGTACCTGATGCTGACCTTGAAATTGTTCAACCTGCTTCCAGCCCTGGAACTTTATGTAAACCAGGGTGGTCTTGAAGCTTCAGAGATCTGTCTGTGCCCCTAAGTGCTGGGGCTATAGGCACGGGCCACCCCATATCCTAGTCCTCATTCGGTTTCAGTGCTCATAGTACTTTTTGCCTTCTAGGTTAGGCTGCCTGATGGGACATCCCTGACCCAAACGTTCCGGGCCCGGGAACAGCTGGCAGCTGTGAGGCTTTATGTAGAGCTTCACCGCGGGGAAGAACCTGGACAGGACCAGGACCCTGTGCAGTTGCTCAGTGGCTTCCCTAGAAGGGCTTTCTCGGAGGCTGACATGGAGCGGCCTCTGCAGGAACTGGGTATGTTATATGAGACCAGGAGTCAGGACTTAAAGGAATGAGGGGCAGTAGAGATAGGAAAAGGAAAGGGGCTTAGTGGACATGGTATGTATGTTTCCAGAAATTTGAAGGCCTAAGGCGAAGTATCCTTGTAATTCAAACTCTTTCTTCTATCTTTAGGACTCGTGCCTTCTGCTGTCCTCATTGTGGCCAAGAAGTGTCCCAGTTGAGGGTCTTCCATCCCATCAATCCTTCCTGACCTCTTCATCTTTGATAAAGCACTGACATTTCCTTCCTAATAAATAGACCCTTTGAGTTATGTATATGCCTGGCTCCTTCCTGAATGACTAGAAAGGGCACTATGAGAAGATAAAGGGAAGGCATTTGAAGAAGGACCTCTTTGTCCAGTTGGCAGTAGTTTTCTAGGACTGATTACCTGCTTGGGGGTGTGTGGGGGGATGTGCATTACACAGCACCTCTTGTTCATAGCATAAAGTGGTACTTAAGGATTTTCTGTTTATTTTGAAACAGAGAGGGGCTGGAGAGATGGCTCAGCGGTTAAGAGCACTGACTGTTCTTCCAGAGGTCCTGAGTTCAGTTCCCAGCAACCACATGGTGGCTCACAACCATCTGTAATGAGATCTGGCGCCCTCTTCTGGCCTGCAGGCATACAGGGAGGCAGACTGTTGTATACATAATAAATAAAATCATTAAAAAAAAAAAAAAACAGAGATTATGTAGTCCTGGCTATCCTGGAACTATATAGACCAGGCTGGCCCTCAAACTCAGAGATCCCTTGCCTTTGTTTCCAAATTTGGGGTTAAAGATGTGTGTCATCATGCTGGGCTTGATTGAGTTTAAAATCCAGGACAGCCAAGGCTACACACAGAAACCCTTTCTCAAATATCCAAAAAAAAAAAAAAAAAAGACCTTACTATTGCTTTTTTTTTTTTAAGATTTATTTATTTATTACATATAGTGTTCTGCTTGCATGTATACTTGCAGGCCAGAAGAGGGCACCAGATCATTCATTACAAATGGTTGTGAGCCATGTCTTTGCAGGGAACTGAACTCAGTAGCTCTGGAAGAGCAGCCAGTGCTCTTAACCTCAGAGCCATCTCTCCATCCCAAGGCCTTACTATTATGTATTTCATATGCCTTGACTTCTTGAAGCCACTCCATTAGTGTGATAGGCTAATAGTATCTATTTCCTATATTATGAAACATTTAATGCTTTAGCAGTGTCTGGCATAGTACATGCCCCGTAAACACTGGCTATATATAAAGTAGTGGGTTTGTGGGGTGTTTATTTTTTTTGTTCACCACCCTGCCCATTGTACACACTTTAATCCTTTACCAAAGCCCACACAAAATTTCCCAAAAGGGCCGGGCGGTGGTGGCACACGCCTTTAATCCCAGCACTCGGGAGGCAGAGGCAGGCGGATCTCTGTGAGTTCGAGACCAGCCTGGTCTACAGAGCTAGTTCCAGGACAGGCTCCAAAGCCACAGAGAAACCCTGTCTAAAAAAAAAAAAAAAAAAAAAAAAAAAAAAGGTTCTTGAGAGCCCCAAAAGCAAAAAAAAACCCCTTTCTCAAAAAACAAAAAAAAAAAAAAAAAAAAAAAAAAAAAAAAAGGGGGTGCTGGAGAAGTGTGGTCTATAAAGTTGAAATGCTGGAATTTTGTCAAGAAGCAATGGTCACCATGCGATTCATGGCAGGTGACCTCTTAAGACTCAGTGGTTAAGAGCACTTAGCTGCTCTTGGGGTCAGTTCCCCAGCACCCACATGGCAGCTCACACCTGTTTATAACACCAGTTCTAGGGTTTCTGTTTTGTCCTCACAGACAAAACACCAATGAACATAAAAAAGACCAAGACCAAATCATCATTGCCTATAATAATCTCAACACTTAGGGAGCAAGGAAAACTGAGGTTAGTTCAGGTAAGCCCAGGATAACATAGCAAGACTATCATAATTTTTATTTATTATGTATGCAATATTCTGTCTGTGTGTATGCCTGCAGGCCAGAAGAGGGTACCAGACCCCATTACAGATGGTTGTGAGCCACTATATGGTTGCTGAACTCAGGACCTTTGGAAGAGCAGGCAATGCTCTTAACCTCTGAGCCATCTCTCCAGCCCAAGACTATCATAATTTAAGAAAAGCGCCATGCAACAGTTACTGTGGAGGGGTTTTTATTAAGGGAAGGGGGGAGACCAGCCTCTCAGGGTGGAGCAGCAGAAGAGAGACATAGATAGGAGGTGGGCAGAGCCCTTTTAAAAGGCAAGTAGTGAACTTGTAATTCCTGCAGTGTCGTGGTGGCACACGCCTTTATACCAGCAGTTAGGAAGCCGAGGCAGGTGGATTCAAGGCTGCCCTGATCTACTGTGAGAATTCCAGGATAGGCTCCAAAGCTATACAGAGAAACCCTGTCTTTAAAAATGCTGTCAAGAAACAAGCTAAGTAAGGCAGGGAATTCATAACAAAGAATAAGCCTCTGTGATTTATTTGGGAGTTGGGTGGTGGGCCCCCCAAGAAGCCAAAAGATTGAACATTACACAACACACACCTATATATGTATATGGGCTAGGTGGAGCTCAGTGATGGGTACTAGCATACCCAAGGTGCTAGGGCTCAATCCTCGGTACCAAATCAAAAAAGGATTTGTGGCCTGGTTCATCTCTGCAGGTACAAGCCCATGGCCCTGGGTTTTGTGTGCCACCATATAATAAACAACTTTGGGGGCATAGACACATATATTTACGTGTATGCCTGTGGAGGCAGAAAACTTAGAGGTCAAAAGAAACCAGCAGTCACTTTCCTTCATTCACCAGGTGGGTTCCAGGGATTAGATTTAAATCCTAGGTTTAGCTCAAGGTGCTTTTACCCACAGCCCTTTCAACCGTCCCTCACTACATTTAGCAAGAGGCTGTATGTTGGGGGGAATAGCGGGATTTTCGTGGCAGGATCTCAACTATAGTCCAGGACAGCCTGAAACACTTTATAGCCATGGCTGGCTTTGAGCTTGTTAGAATTCTGGCTCAAGCTGCCAGGTGCTGAGACTCAGCTACCATGCACTGCTGCACTTTCCAACGACCCTTTTTGCCCATTTTGTAATAGTTTAAACCCTCGGGCCTTTTTTTTTTTTTTTTTTGAGAGCTGGTTTCACTATGTAGCCCCGGAGGGTCTGGGAATTATTAAGCAGACCAAGCTGGCCTTGCAGAGATCTTCCTGCCCCTCTGTCCCAAGTGCTGAGGATAAACACTCAGTTCAGAATATCATGTAGTTAAACCAAAATCTTTCTCTTTTGAGGTAGTAGCCCAGGTTTGTCTTGAAACTACTATCTTCTTACCCTCCTGGGTGCTGTGGTTATTATACTTATATGTCACTGAGCTATGGTTAAGAATGATCTGACACAGATGTTTTAGTACTGAGTCAGCTTCTCTTACAGAGCCTTAACAAGGCCTGGCAATGGAGGTACATACTTTTAATGCAAGCACTGAGGAGGCAGAGGCAGGTGAAGCTGTGAGGCCAGCCTGGTCTACAGAGCGAGTTCCAGCACAATCAGGGCAACACTGACTGGAAAGAGACTTTAACCGAAGTTAAACACTGTTCTGTGACTTCCATATATGCAGCGCGTCCGCACTTTCATTTTTCGCTCTACAACATAGACACACAAAACAGACATTAGAAAAGTCTTTTTTTTTTTTTTTTTTTTTTTTACCGCCAGTTGTTGAAGCAAACTTAGATCATGTGACCTGTTTTTAATAGTCAGAAAACCTACTGGACTTGGAACTCTCCAGGACGAGTGAGTGGCAATCAGCAACTTCTGCTCCCACCGTGCCGACCCTCTCAGCTCTTTAGGCATTAAATATCCGGCTGCGGAATCCACTTAACGGATGGACTGGATTTATTAGTTCCTTTGGTTCCACACATCCGACCCCCATCTCGTCCCTGTCACGCGATGTGCACATTAAACGCGACCACCGACGACAGCTACCTGTGCCTGCTAGAGTCGTGTTACCCTGAATCCGGACTCCACCCCCGCGCACGGAGAAAAGGCGCCTCGAAGGTCCCACAGGCAAGCTCTGGTGTCACGCTGACCTGCTGCCGTCGCTAACTGCTTCCGTCCAGTTCTTCCTCCAGGCCACGTTCTCCTCCGTAGCTGACGCTTTCTTCAGAGTAGCCATCACTAGTTCCTTGGTTCGGGCAGCTTCTTCCCTGCGCCGCGGGTCCCGTTCCGGAAACTCCTAAGGGCAAGAAGGATGTTTGCAGCCCGGGCCCGAAGACATGGCCTCTCCCCACGCACACCCACCTCGGGGAGCCCGGGTGTTTCTACCTGCAGCATTGCCTGCTTCTGTAGTTCTCCTGGGGTTACAAGGGCAAACAGAGTGGAGCCAACGCCAGCACCCGCGCCGAGCACAGCAACCACCACCAGTGCTTTACGAACCGTGTTCATGGCCGACCACACTACCAACGAGATGCCCTCTGCATCCTCCGGCGGCCTAGAAGGGAGCCGCGACGTCTCGCCGCTTCCCATGCGGGCTAGAGCGACCGAGGCGGGGCGGAGCCGAAAACCATAGAGCAACTTCCAGGCTAAAGCGGTGCTGGCCCTGTTGAAACGTTTAAATTCTTTTTTTGTTTGTTTGTTTGTTTTGTTTTTCTAGATGGGGTTTCACAGTGCAGCTTAGGATCCTGTTCGGGAACTTGCTCTGTTGACCAGGCTGGCCTTGACCTCAGCTGCCTCTGCCTCCCCCGTGCTGGGATTAAAGGCGTGCACCGCCACTGCTCTGCAAGACTCTTGACTCTTGAAATTATAGATTTAAAAAACAACAAAAGCAGGTCAGTGGTGGCGCGGTGGCCCAGGCCTTTTTTCTCACCACTCCGGAAGCAGAGACAGGTGGATCTTTGAGTTTGAGATCAGCCTGGTCTGCAGAGCGAGTTCCAGGACAGCTAAGGCTACACAGAGAAACCTTGTCTCGAAAAAACAAAAAAGACCAAACAAAAAATCCGTCGCACTCCCCTCACCAGCCGACTTGGAACTCCCTGTGTAGAAATTCATTATGTAGACCACTGACCTCACACTCACAAGGAAGCCACCTGCTGCTACCACCTCACCTGAAATGAGATCCTGGAGCTTGGTAGCTGAGTAAAGGACGTTGAATATCTTAAAAAATGCTAGAGCCGGCTGGAGAGAGGGCTTAACAGACCTGGGTTCAGTACTCAGGCACTGTGATGCACATACACATGCAGGCAAAACATTAATGACACAAAACAATGAAGAAAAAAGAGTTTAGGGCCATTGCCATAAAAGAGTGCATGATTACTGTGGATTTTTGAGTTGCTAAGTTTTTGCTGGGTGGTGGTAGTGCACACCTTTCATCCCAGGACAGCTCTCTGAGTTCGAGGCCAACCTGCTCTACAGAGTGAGGTCTAGGGCAGCCAGTGCTACACCAAGAAATTCTGTCTTAAACTAATTAAAGTAAAATAATTTTAATTAAAAATAAAAACTATGGGGCTGGAGAGCTGGCTCAGAGGTTAAGAGCACTGACTGCTCTTCTGGAGGTCCTGAGTTCAATTCCCAGCAACCACATGGTGGCTCACAACCATCTGTAATGAGGTCTGGTGCCCTCTTCTGTCCTGCAGGCATACATGGAGGTTGAACACTGTGTACATAATAAATAAATAAATACCATTGCCAATTTTCAATCCCAGGAAGTTTCAAATCAATAGAGGACTATTAATATTCTAAGTACACAATGCAATGACTAACACCTGAACTCTCAAATGTTTAAAAAAGGTAAATCTGGAAGAGTTGGGGACCAGTCAAGGCTTCATTGAAAGAAATTGTTTCAAAACAAAGCACATAGAAGTTAGGACAAACAAAAATTCACAGCCAAATGGACAGAATAGGAAACAATTTTTTTCTCTCTCAGGTTTTGAAACCAGAGTGTTAGGCAAGCTTTGTATCATAGATATGCTTTCTTAGCCCATTCCTTGCTCTTTTTAAGAAAAGACTTTCTGGCTGAGCGGTGGTGGCACACACCTATAATCCCAGCACTTGAGAGGCAGAGGCAGGTCACTCTCTGTGAGTTTGAGACTAGCCTGGTCTACAGAGTGAGTTCCAGGACAAGCTCCAAAGCGACAAAGAGAAACCCTGTCTTGAAAACGAAACCAACGGGTTGGAGAGATGGCTCAGAGGTTAAGAGCACTGGCTGCTCTTCCAGAGGTTCTGAGTTCATTCAATTTCCAGCAACCACATGGTGGCTCACAACCATCTTTAATATCTGGTGCCCTCTTCAGACCTGCAGGCATACATGCAGACAGAAAACTGTATACATAATAAATAAAATGTTAAACAAACAAACAAAAAACAAAGCACACACAAAACAAACAAACCACTGGCTTCTTTTCCAGAGGACCCGGGTTCAATTCACAGCACCCATATGGCAGCTCACAACTATCTGTAACTATAGTTCCAGTGGATCCAATGCCCTCACACAGACATGACTATGGACGAAATACAAATGAACATAAAATATTTATTTTGGAGAGGCAGGCGGATCTCTGTGAGTTCGAGACCAGCCTGGTCTACAAGAGCTAGTTCCAGGACAGGCTCCAAAACCACAGAGAAACCCTGTCTCGAAAAACCAAAAAAAAAAAAAAAAAAATTTATTTTGGTTTTGGTTTTTCTTTTTTTAATTTATTTAAGATTTCTGCCTCCTCACCTCCACCACCTCCCATTTCCCTCCCCCTACTCCAATCAAGTCCCCCTCCCTCATCAGCCCAAAGAGCAATCAGGGTTCCCTGCCCTGTGGGAAGTCCAAGGACCACCCACCTCCATCCAGGTCTAGTAAGGTGAGCATCCAAACTGCCTAGGCTCCCACAAAGCCAGTACGTGCAGTAGGATCAAAAACCCATTGATTGCCCTTGTTCTTGAGTTCTCAGTAGTCCTCATTGTCCGCTATGTTCAGCAAGTCCGTTTTTATCCCATGCTTTTTCAGACCTGGGCCAGCTGGCCTTGGTGAGTTCCTGATAGAACATCCCCATTGTCTCAGTGTGTGGGTGCACCCCTCGTGGTCCTGAGTTCCTTGCTCGTGCTCTCTCTCCTTCTGCTCCTGATTTGGACCTTGAGATTTCAGTCTGGTGCTCCAATGTAGGTCTCTGTCTCCTTTCATCGCCTGATGAAGGTTAATATTCAGGAGGAAAATATTTATTTATTATGTATACAGTGTTCTGTCTGTGTGTATGTCTGCAGGCCAGAAATGGGTACCAGACCTTATTACAGATGGTTGTGAGCCACCATGTGGTTGCAGGGAATTGAACTCAGGACCTTTGGAAGAGCAGACAATGCTCTTAACCACTGAGCCATCTCTCCAGCCCCTGGTTTTGGTTTTTCAAGACAGGGTTTCTCTGTGTAGCCATGGCTGTCCTGGAACTTGCTTTGTAGACCAGGCCTTGAACTCATAGAGATCTGCCTGCCTCTGCCTCATGTGTGCTGGGACTAAAGGCATGTGCCACCACCACCCGGCTCATAACATAAGATTAACAAAAAATAAAAGGAACGAAGGGCTTCTATGATTTCATTTTCTAGTCATGATTGGCCTGGAACTTGCTGTGTAGACTAGGCTAGCCTTGAAGTCCCAGAGTTTTGCCTGCCTGTGCTTCTTAAATTTTGCTATTAAAGATGTGTGCTATCCTAACTGGCTTGTTTACTTTTGTTTTCCCAAGACAGGTTTTCTCTGTGTAGTCCTGGCTGTCCTGGAACTGTCTCTGTAGAGCAAGCTTGCCTCTGTCTCCCCTGTCTCCCAAGTGCTGGTATTAAAGGACTGCACCACCACTGTCTGGAGTTCTTGGCAGGCTAGGAGAGATGGCTCAGTAATTAAGAGCACTGGCTGATTTGATTTGATTCCCGGCACCCACGTGGTGCCTGACAACTATCAGTGATGCCTGTCCTATGAGATCCAATGCCCTCTTCTAGAAGACATACTTGCAGGCAAAACAGCTCTACCTATAAAATAAATAACATTTAAGGTAAATAGATAAAAAGGTTTCTGTGAAACAGCAAAAGCCACATAAGCATTCGTTAAATAACATACAAATAAGTCCACTTGAGAAAACCAGCAAACACGGAGTTAGGAAATCCACCATCACAGCTTTTTATTTATAGGGCTTTAATCCAGATGCCCTTGTCTCCTACCTTGACTGCCATCCCCAGTGTCTCAGGGAGTAAGCAGAATAAAGCTCCTGTGTCTCCTCTTTGGCTTCTCCCCTCCCTTGGAAGGCCCATAATCTCCCAGCATGTCAGCGTTCTTTCCTCAGCAGTGATTAAGGAGCCCTCTACAAAGACGATTAAAGCATAGTCTGTGTGGGGCACTGCGCAGGGGACTTGACCTGGAACCCAAGCACCCTGCATTCTTAGAGTCACAAGCATGGCCCTCGTGCCAGGAAGTAGCAAGGATGGACCTTGGTCTGGAGATAGTCCCCTGTTGACGAATCCTCTCTCAAGGAACAGAGAGGAGCCTGGCAGATGTGAAGGTCAGCAGGATGCTCAGGTGAGTACTACTGGTCCAGGAACTGGCTCTTCCTCCAATTGGGCCCAACACCCCTGCTGTACTTATGCAGGTGTCTCCAAAGCCCCGCCTGCCCTCTATTGTGGTAGAGGTCTCAGAGAGGAATGAGGAAGACCAGGAGGATAGCCAGTGGTCACATGAGGAGTTGCTGCTGCTCACTGATGGTGAAGAGGAGGAAGCAGAAGCCTTCTTCCAGGATCCAAGTGAAGAGCCAGGTGAGGGTGATGGATTATTCATTCAGGCCATTGCCATCTAGACTTTCCAGGCCCACAGTAGGTGTCCAGGAATGCTAGAAACAGGGACCTTAGAGGACAGCTTTGGTGTTTTGTTTTGTTTTTCAAAAAGTCTCACTCTATATTTCAAACTGAACTAGAACTGAAGATCTTCCTGCTTCAGCCTCCCAAATTGTGGGGTTGCAAGACTGTAGCACCATGCCTGGCTTGTTTGCTTGTTCCTTTATTTAAGCACTGAAAAGTGAACCTAAAGAGGTACTCTACTGCTGAGCTATATTCCCAGTCATTTTTAATTAATTTATTTGAGACAGTCTCACTGCAACTCAGACTGACCTAGAGCTAACTATAACTCAGGCTGGCCTTGAACTCATGGTAATCCTTTTGCTTCAGTCTTCTGAGTACTTGAGATTATTAAAAGCCTGAGCCCTGGGCTCTGCACCCTACTAGTTTAAAAGGCTGTTCTGATCTGGAAATGATGGTCTTTAAAAAATTTAGGCGTAGTTGGGTATGGTGGTCCCTGCCTTTAATTCAGGAACTTGGAAAGCAGAGGCAGGCTGATCTCTGTGCGTTACAGGTCAGCCTGGTCTGCATAGTGAGAATGTATCTCCAAAATAATAATAAATAATAGCAATAATAATCTTTATTTACTTGTAAGAATGAGTAGGGTGTACCTGTACCATAGTATGTGTGTGTGTGTGTAGGTCAGAAGACAATTTGTGGGAGCCAGATCTCTCATTCCACCTTGTGAGTTCTAGGGACTAACTTCAAATTGGTCCACTCCCAAGTAATCCCAGCACTTGGGAGGCAGAGGCAGGCAGATCTCTGTGAATTGGAGATCAGCCTGGTCTACAAGAGCTAGTTCCAGGACTAGCCCCAAAGCTACTCAGAGAAACCCTGCTTCAAAAAACAAAACAATCAAGTTGGCTGACTTGATAGCCTTTTTTCTTGCAGGCGGAGCTCTACCCTTTCTACTATTTGTTTGATTTTTGCTTTTGTTTGCACTGTTGAGATAGAACCCAGGGCCTTCAAGCATTTTTTTTGAAAAAATGTGTGTGTTGCTGGGCAGTGGTGGCACACATCTTTAATTCCAGCTCTGGAGAGGCAGAGCCAGGCAGATCTCTGTAAGACCAGCCTTGTCCACACAGTGAGTTCCAGAGCAGCCAGAACTACACATGGAGACCTGGTGGTGCAAGCCTTTAATCAGAGCCCTCAGGAGGCAGAGGTAGGAGGATATCTGAGTTCAAGGCCAGTGTGGTAGAGACAGTTCCAGGACTGCACAGAAAAACCCTGTCTCAAAAAAAGACAGCCGAGTGGTGGTGGCACAGTGCCTTTAATACCATCACTTGGGAGGCAGAGGCAGTGAATGAGGCCAGCCTGTATTATAAAGTGAGTTTCAGTACAGTCATGTCTGTTAAAAAGAGAAACTCTGTCTAAAAAAAAACTAAAAAAACAAACAAAAAAAGCAAGCAAACTATTTCAGGTATGGGGTGTGCATGTGTCCCCTGCATACCCGCGAAGGTCAGAGGAAGACCACGTGTGTCACACTATCAATTATGACCTGCTTTGTCTTTTGCTGGCTAAGCCATCTTACCAGCTTCTAAAACCAAGGCCGTTGGCATGTTAGGTAATTGATCTACCACTGAGCTGCACCCATAGCCTTAATTTGCCCTTTTGGTTTTGTTCTTTTGCTTTCTGTGGACAGAATTCATCATTTGTTTGGCCTGGGTCTTGCTATGTTGTTGAGTGGCAATCTGGATTTTTATTATTTTAAAATGCATGGTTCACTACTGGGGAGGGGAGCAGATAATATAATTACCCCACATCTAACTATCTAGAGGTAATATTTTAGGTGGATGGTTGTATGATTTTTTTTGCATTTATTATGCAGTCATTGTGCTAAAATATTTTTCCTTATGATTTCTCAGAACTCAAAATGGAGATAATTTTCCTTCATAAAGGAGGAAACTGGGCTAGGGAGTAGAGTGCTTGCTCTGCAAGAGTTCAGATCCCCAATGGTCACACAAATTCCAGCTGGGCACAGCAGCCCACTTGTAATCAAGTGCTCTCTGGAGGCTGAGATTCCCGGAGTAAGGACCTGGAGTAGCTGTACAGCAAAGCTCTGGGTTCAGAGATTCCTTGAATATAAAGTGAAGAGCAATTGAGGAAGATACCTGACTAGAACTCTGGCCTGGCCTCCACACCTATTTTCACTTTTTTTTTTTTTTTAATTTAGATTTGTTTATGCCTCAGGAGGCCAAGACCTACATACCTGAGTTCAAGGACTGGCTCCATAGCTACTGAGAAACCCTGTCTCGAAAAACAAAACACAAATTATGTATACAAGTGTGCTATCTGCATGTACACCTTTATGACAGAAAAGGGCATCAGGTCCTACTATACATCGTTGTGAGCCACCATGTGGTTGCTGGGAATTGAACTCAGGACCTCTGGAAACAGTGCTTTTAACCACTGAGCCATCTCTCCAGCCCCCTGCATTTACTCTTGAATACAAATACAGAAGCATGAATTACTACCCTGACCCATCCCCACGTGCTAGCTGAGCCAGGATCTCATAGGAATCTGACTACCTCTACTGCCCCAGTACTAGGATTAATGGTAGAATAAAACTCTGGTAGCACACAGAAAAATGAGGCTGGAGAACTGGCTGGGCAGTTATAAAAGAACTTGCTACTTTTGCAGAGGACCTAGATTTGGTTCCTAGCGTGTATGTGGTAGTTCACAACCTTATTTAACGCTAGTTCCAGGGACTGGATTTTCTCTTCCTACCTCCTCATGCACCAAGCATGCATATGCTAGTCACACACCCTAAAATAACCAAACATTTACCTGAGTTGTGCATGGTAGCCAGCCTTACTAGTGTTTCTGTGTACAGTACCTATGCTTTAACTACCTTTTGTAGACTAGGTGGGCCTTGAACTCAGATCACACCTGTCTTTGCCTCCAAAGTAATGGGATTAAAGGCGTGGACCACCACTGCCCTGCCAGCTTGACTTGTTACACAGTGAGTTCCAGGCCAGCCAGGGTTATGTTGAGAGGCCTTGTCTCAAAATAGTGTATGTATCAAGAATGTGATAGGGTCACTCTTCTCCCAGGTTGGGCTTGGATCCCACAGGACCCCACATCTCCTTTAAGAACGTTTAACCCTGGTCTTGGCTGGGAGCATGAACAAGAGGATGCCTCCTGGATTACTGAAGATACAGAGGGTCAAGAAACTTCCAACCCCTGTCCTCTTTGGGACCCTACAGTGTCCGGCAACTACAGAACCCGATTTGTGGAATATTCCCATTTCCCACCTCCCAGTACCTTTGGGGGTAAGTATTGTTTCTCCCTTGTTTCTGTTTTCACAGCCCTTTTGTTCACTCTAGGCCAGACACAATAGAGGGAGGTGGATCTGAGTTCGAGGACAACCTGGTCTATAAAGTGAGTTTATGGGCAGCCAGGGCTTTTATGCAGAGAAAAATCCAAGCACATTAATTGAACACCAGGGTAACCTAGTGTCCTAGGATTCTCAGGACAACAGTATTCCCAAACAGCTGGGAGAAACCTGACCATGTTAGGGCTCCCGGATTCCAGTTATCTGTCATTAAAAACCCCATCCCCTACAAATAGAGGCAGGGTGTTCGGCCACGAACTCCTTGCATAAAGCTGTATGTGAACCCCGCCATAGGCAACATATCCACCCCGAGGATATTCACATGGTAAGGGGAGGCCTGTGCAGGTGAGATCTCACAGCTCCCATCCAATATCCTTAGTGTACAGTCTGCCTCTCACAGCTGTCCCAGGGATTTCCTCACAAAGTAGAAGGTGGGGTCAGGGCCGAAGCATTGCAGGGCATGAAGTCAATTTCAGCAGCTTCTTTTGGCTAGACTACTAGCCAGGGAGCCTGTTCTGGGATTACTACAGGTCTTTACTACACGGCGAACTACAGTTTTAAAGATCCCCATGCCTTTAGGATCTCACCTTCTATACGAATGAAAGCTACCCGCCACCATGGGTAGACATCTCCGAGGTCTTCACAAGATCGACCAGAGAATCTAAAGTGTCACGCGCAAACCCAGTATGTGCTACAAGGTCTGAGTCGCGTAAAAAAGGGAACGCACACAAGGCTCTTAGGGTTCACTGACTTTACTGGTTCAACAATAAACCGCCAAAGGAAAGACGTTAGCTGTCACTCCGGGGCGTCATCCACAGACCTGAAACCAAAATAAAGAGCATTCAGTACCGACCGCACAGAGGGGACTGCCGGTTCTGGCTACATTTCTGCATCGAGAGAGATGTCCCGGCGTCTGAGGATAGAACCGGCGAACGGGAGGCCGCAGGCACCGAAGACATAACGCCGAGAGGGCCGGAGCCCTTTCCTTCTGCCTCCGTACATAACGGGGAGCAGGACCGCACGCCCGGTCCCCGCCAAGAAATGGAGGGTCTACAAGCCCAGGCCCAGATCCCAGCAGCGCCCAACTGCCCCCGCATACCAACAGTCAGAACCCACTTACGTGAAAGACGTCCTTCGAAAGACCCGTATGACCGCGGAACACATTTATATAAGCCCGGAGTCGGCCTCTCCCCTCGCATTGCGATTGGTCCGCGGGTGCAAGGCGGGCGGAGCCTTTGCTCCAGGCGGAACCTGCAAGCGGAGCGGAAGTGCGGCTCCACGAGTGTGCCTCAGCGTGCCGCTATGGGTCCTCCCGGAGGAAAGATCAATCGTCCCCGCACGGTGACTTTGGGCGCTGTCCCTTTGCTTCCCCAGGCTTCCCGGAGCGTTTCCCTCTCCCGAGACAGGATCAGTGGTGTCTGGAGTACCCGGGTGCGAGAATTTGGGCATGCACGGTGATCTTACTCTGGTGCGCGTCTTTTTCTCCCTCAGGAGCTGAAGAAGAAGTTATTCAAGCGCCGGAGGGTGCTGAGCAGGGATCGGCGACGGAAGCGCCAGGTGGTCGGGGCTGTGATAGACGCGGGGCTGACCACAAGGCACCACCTCAAGAAGCGGGCGTGAGTGTGGTACTAGCCTCTTCCGAGTAGTCATTCCTCCCAAGCTTCAGAGCAGCTCAAACTTTTCCCTCACGTTTAAGCAGGAACTAGTTGACAGTTAGGTTAGTTCCCAGACCACCAACCTCTCACAGTACCGTTGCTCACAGGGTTTAAAAGTGCCCACATAAGTGCAATCAATTAGTTGAATTTTCTCAAAGGTACACCTAGGAGACATACATAGGTTCTAAGTTCTATGAGGCAAATATCCTTTTTGTAGGTAGGATCACTTTTGTGACTTAGGATGGTTCAGATTAACTTGGATATCCTTATTTCTATCTGTGCCTCAGATCCAGTGCACGTGCCAACATCACGCTGTCCGGGAAGAAGCGCAGGAAACTCCTGCAGCAAATCCGCCTTGCTCAGAAAGAAAAGGCAGCCATGGAAGGTATGTCTGGGGCACAGAGGTTCCATGAAAGGGAGTCTGGATTTTTACCAGGGTTCTTAAATGCTTCCTGTTTTCTTTCTCTTTGTTCAGTGGAAAACCCCTCCAAGCCATCCAGGACTAGTGAGCCACAGCCCAAAAGACAAAAGAAGATGAAAGTTCCCCAGGATGTAGATATGGAGGATCTGGGAGATGAGACTAAGCCCCTACCTCTGCTATGAGAAGATTCTCAACAGCAGCCAGAGGATTTGGAGGACTGTGAAGAAAATACTACCATATTTCACTCTCTCAGACACCCTTGAGTGGCCCACTGACCTTCCCTGGAGTTACATATTGGGAGGGAGGAAGACGCAGAAAAAGACTGGAGAGGTCCCGCTCTAGCAACCAACTCCTTTTGTAATAAAGCCCTGGAGGTTTAACTAACGTGTGATGAAGTGCAGGAATGGGGAGGGGCCCTATAAGAAGAAGGCCTTTGAGAGACAGTCCAGAAGCAGGACACACAGTGTGCTTGAGCAGAGCAGTAAGAAACTAGGTATTGCAGCGCCTGGTGGTGCTCACTTTTAATCCTGGCACTTTGAGGCAGAGGCAGGTGGATTTCTGTTCTAGACTAGCTTGTTCCTGGTCAGCCAGGGCTACATGATAAAACCCTATCTCAAAAAGAAACTAGGTAGCTTCTAAAGTGGTCCCCATCTTTCTATACAGTAACACTCCCAATTTTCCATTTTTGAAAACTGGAGGTTATTGGATGATAGGTGGCGAGACAAGGAATCTGCCACTATACCTGTGTGACCTGGGATTATAGCAAGGACATTTTTTTTAAACTGGTCATGGTGGTGGTTCTGGGAGTCAAACCCAGGGCCCCATCCATTCTAGGCTTTCTTTTTGCCATCTACATCCTGAGCACCTGTATGTCTCTATTTCTCTATCAGCACTCATGCAGTAGGGAGACAGGGTCTTTGTTATATAGCCCAGGTCTGTTTTGAACATGTGATCCCTCTGCTTCTGCCTCCACAGTGCTGGGATTATGGGTATGAGACATGCACAGCCCCCTTTCCTAACTTGCCTTTACCATTGCAAACATCTAAATAGATGGAGGGCTTGACACCAAGCCCAACAAACTGAGTCCCATCCCTGTGACCTTAACAGTGGAAGGAGAGCCAACTCTCCAAAGTTGTCCTCTGGCTTCCACGCTTGCATTTTGGTAAGCATGGTCCCCCATATATATAGTAAATGTAACAACAAAGCACAACCAAACACATTAAAAAATTAGACGTGGACTTGCAGCACTTCTCCAGTTTTCCATTCCTCTACTAAATATCAGTAACAGACTATTTTATGTGTTTGAGTTTTTTGCTTGCATGAATGTGCAAGCATTTGCATTGTGCATGCCTGGTGTCTGCAAAGGCCAGAAGAGGCTGTTGGATCCACTGGAACTGGAGTGAGCTGCCATGTAGGTGCTAGGAACTGAATCTGTGTTTCTGAGAGAGCACCAAGTGTTCTTACCACTGAACCATCACTCCAACTCCACAGACAACTTTTTCTTTCTTTTTTTAGATTTATGGGTATGAATACTTTGCCTGCATAGATGTATGTGCACTATGTGCCCAAGGAGGCCAGAAGCTCACCTGGAATTGGAATTACAATTGGGAGCTGCCATGTGCATGCTGGCAATTGAACCCTAGTCCTCTCAACTCCATCCCCAAACAACTTTTAAATAAATGTGATGCATCTCACAACCACGTGTAACTCCAGCTTCAGGGGCTCTGATGTTCTCTTCTAGACTCTGAGGACACCAGTACTTGTGTATCTATATATACACAGGCATGCTCATATACATAGAACTTAAAAATAAGAACAAGACAGTCAGTGGTGGCACATGCCTTTAATCCTAGCACTCGGGATGTGGGCCAAAGCTGTTACACAGAGAAACCCTGTCACAAAAAACCTTAAAAAATATAATAAAAATGTTTAATATTCACCAGATGTTTCTTTTCTTTCTTTCTTTCTTTCTTTCTTTCTTTTTTTTTTTTTTTTTTTTGTTGGTTTTTCGAGACAGGGTTTCTCTGCGGCTTTGGAACCTGTCTGGAACTAGCTCTGTAGACCAGGCTGGTCTCAAACTCCCAGAAATCCGCCTGCCTCTGCCTCCCGAGTGCTGGGATTAAAGGCGTGCGCCACCAATGCCCGGCTTAGAAAACTTTTTAAAATATGTTTTGGCTGGGTGGTGGTGGTGCATGCCTTTAATCCCAGCACTTGGGAGACAGAGGCAGGTGGATCTCTGAGTTCGAGGCCAGCCTGGTCTACAGAGTGAGTTGTAGGACAGCCAGGGCTGTTACACAGAAACACCCTGTCTCAAAAAAAACGAAAACAACAAAAAATTCTGATATATACAGGATATTCGGGTGTTTAGAAAGGCCAGACAAGGGCAACATGTATGGGAGGGCAGCCCCCTTGGAGTTGACTAGGACACACCCAGACACCAAATTCTCAGCCAAAACATTTATTACCCCAGAGGGACCAGCAATGGGAGAGGCTGCCTCTGGACTGGGCAAAAGCAGACAGCAAGCAGCAATAGTAGCAAGTAGGTTTGTTTGTTTGTTTGTTTTTTGCTGGGGTGGCTTTTAAGGAGAAAATGGGGGAGCCTGCGAGGGAGAGTTGATAAGTCCTGATTGAACATGTTAGCCAAATAATGAACTTTGTTGAACCTTGGTGTTTTGTCTAAGGAATGAGTCAGTGGCCAAATAAGGGACTAGACCATGGCTATCTTTAGGAGTATAATATAATCCCGTGTGGAACTTTAGTTTGAAATGGTTGTGAGCCATCATGAGGGCGTGGATTTTGAACCTGGATCCCCTGGAAGAGCAGTCACTGATCTATCTCTCTAGCCCTTTCATACTGACTCTTGTTACTCAGAGCAGTTTCTGTATCCAGCATTATATCAAGAACTTTGGGCTGGGTGTGGTGGCACCCACACTTCTTCCCAGCACTCAG